ACTGAGCTGACATGTGCTGTAGGTCAAATGCACATCAGATGCTGAGACTTGTCTAGGAAAAAGAATGTAAGCTATCTTGTTACTTTCTATATTGATTACATGTCAAAATGATAGTATTTTACATACAGTAGAATAAGTAAAATCTGTTCTTAAAATCAGTTTCAAGTATTTGTTTTTTGTTTGTTTGTTTACCGTTTTAAATGTGACAACTGGGAAACTTTCTTTACATGGCTCTCATTTCATTTCAGTTGGGCAGCCTTTCCTGGGACAGTCTCATCCCTTTGCTTACAGATGAGATGCTGAATCCCGAGACGCAGAACGAGGCTCTGGTTGAGCTGGGGGTGATGCAGGTGTCTCATTTCTCTCAGGTCCAGCAGCTGCATGGCTCAGGCCCTCTCTTCTTGCCCGACAGCCACCATGCCATGTTAGGACATCAGAAACACCGCCAGGCACTTTCAAAAGAACTCCTTTCGCAGGGAAATTTGTGTCACGGAGTATGGGACAGAACAGGGAAAGGTTCCTCCTCACTTTCTCCCTGTGATTAATTCAACAGCCCCACTTTGCCACGGAAGTGCAGACAAGCTCTTCTGGGCTGCCTACCGCCCCACCTTCTGCTGTTTCCCCGTGTATCTATCGTGCTTTCCCTCGGGCAGAAGAGGGTGAGATGCCTTTGCGGAGAGGTGGTCCCCCTTTGCTGAGGAGAGTGAGGGAATCTGTGTCACCTGGTCTATGGCCTCGGACCTTGAGTCCAGAGAGCGCTGATGGCGGTCCCACAGGTGACGGTCGGAGGACCTGGCACGTGCTGCCGTGACTGCTGTGGAGGCAGTGCTCTGTGATTCTTGAACTTACCTAAGATCTGGTCCTACTTTCTGGTTGGTGGTCAGTTGGAGGAGAAGAAGCCAGAGAATTGATAAAAAGAAATTCCAGACCAGCCCTTTGAGTGAGAGCCTCAGGGGACCCGAGTCCCACCTGCGTGTGGTGCCTGGCGGGCTCTGGATGAATTTTCAGTTCCTCCCCGGACATGCCTCTATGGCTTAAGGAAGCGGTGACGCATGTCGTGGCCATGATCTGTACTTGTCCTCGCAGGGCCCTGTGATCCACATGTCCGCACTCCCCTTCTGCTACTTGGAGATGAGGTGGCAGGTTTAGGAGATTGGGCACTGCTGAGGGCACAGCTGCCAGCACCGTGCTACACCGAGGCTGGCTCCGTTCACCTCACCTGTGACCTCCTGCTGAGCCCCCAGGCTTTAGTCACGGTAGGTGCACCGGTGCAATGTAAGCAGGGACCAACTTCTCCCCCTGGACAGACTGGTGGGTGAGCAGTGGAAGCCTGGGTCCCTGCCCCAGCCCCCTGTCCAGTGCCTCCTCTTTTGTCGTATGAGGCACTAATGACATTTTCCTCAGCAACTGCTTGGCTCTGATTCTGCAGACCCATCAGAGAATGCCAGCTTGTTTCTGCCTTTTGAAGTCTGCCCGGGGGATTTGGCGGAGTAACTGGTTGTGTGCTTACCCATAGTTGCTGACACTGTCACCATTGTTTACCCAGAACCTCGTGTACCAGGCATGGCTCTCGGCATCCAAATATAGCAGCGCATTAAACATCCTTCCTGTTGGGTCTGTCTGTTTTGGTACAATAAGCGCTCAGACAGCATCTGAACATCAGTGAGATAACGCAGCCAGTGAGCTTGGGTCAAGCACGTTCTCTTCCAGTCACGTTTACTCCAGTGTTGCTTTTACTATTCCACAGTCATTAATTTATAAAACAATGCTTTGGTGCAGGAGTAGAGCCTATTTCTCTCCTGCTACTCTTGGTGGCAGTGAGTAAAGCTGTCCAGCCTGAAATGCGACCACATTTTGTAGCTCAAAAGCTGCCTAGATGCATGGAGGTGGAGTTTTGGTTAGGGGCGATGACCACGGTGGGGTCCCCAGGCAGCGCTGCTCCTCTCAGGCCCCTACCTTCCCTGGAGCAGGAGGTGAGTGTGGGTCTCACCATCTTCGCGTCCCTGGCCTCACACACTGACGTAAATTCTTGTATAGGCTGTCAAAGTCATTTTTGTTCTTGTGTGTTTCTAATTTTCGCTTGTTCCTCTTTTCCTTTTTCTTTTTTCCTTTTTCTCTTGTACTGCCCTGTGAGCATGTTGTTGCATCTGAAAAGGTGGGCTGTGCACACACTGCATTGGAAATAGCTAGATCGCCCTCCATGCTGTCTCCATCGCTTTAAAAGGCAAAAACTTAACAGCTGCCTTGATCCATGTATTATCCTAGTCATGTTTTTATTTTCTAATTTTTGCAATATTTGCTTTGTTAGCACATCACCCACTGGTGTTTGATACCTGTTAAAATCCTTGATTTGAGGAACCTGTTTGGTCCTCCTTATATTTGGTGACAAATGCGCCCTTATTAAATTTGTTTGATTGTTTTGAAGAAGTGAGATACGAATTGATTTAGGCAGCTGCTGAGGGGTAATTTTCATGGAGTATTTAAACTTGGAAAGTCAAAGTCTGCAGCATCTTGCTCGATTCCTGGTTTTCCACAAACGTGCTTGGCATGCGGTTCCTGGCTGTCGATCTGTGACGTGCGTGATGGCGCTGCCTGGCCGGCGGTCACTGGTGAGGAAGTGGCAGGCTCGGAGGTGAGCAGCTGCAGGGGACGCTGTTGGAGGAAGCAGTCACCGTTTTGTTATTTTTTTTTTTGCATTCAACTTCCCCATGCCATTTACTTTATTTTGCCTTCATAAAGGGGCAGAAGCGGGTCTAAAAATCCATGCCACTCTTTTGTTCCCTTTACGAGGTTGTTTTTTCTGAGTATCAGGACAACATGGCCTTCTCCTAAGTAGCTGGCTCACCTGGATCTGGTGGACACAGGGACCGCTAAAGGGGACCGTGGCTTCCTCTTGGTTTCAGCCAGTGGGCATGCAGAGCCTGGTCTGTGGTTTGACTCAGCAGCCATGCAGGCCTCCCTGCACCGGACTTTACTTTTAACACATGTTGGCAGTAAGTAGCTGACTCGTTGTCTGTTGCAGCTGACGTCCACCATTGATGGCCGTGTCATTAGTTTGCTGTAGTGAGTGTCCAACACCCCAGTCAGCCGTGTAGGAAGAAGCTTTGGCCGACCTAGGACCTTGGATTCTCACCCCCACCCTGTTTCATCTCACCCGGGGGAAGGGTTTGGCCACCACCATCATGCTGACCATGAGGCCTTGTTTCTCCTTTCATGCTGTGGTCCAAATGTCTGCACTTCATCCTTCACTGACTTGGTCTCGCTTGAGACAGGCCAGACTTTCTGAAAGAGTCCATCACATTCTTGGGGGGAACAGAACAGAAGTAAGTGTCGCAAGTAGAAGGAGTCTAGGCTGTCCGGGTTGGCAAATGCAGGCTGGGATCTCTGATGGCTGGGCTGTGCCCTGGACACAGGCCTTTCCTGTGGCTCCCGAGAGACCTGGGGTCGGAGTGAGAACAGCCTTGCCTGGGTTCCTCCATCCACATCTGCTCACTGGCAAGTGTGTCTGCTAATTAGGAGCTCCCCCAGACCTCGGGCCCTTCAAATTTCAGTCCACGGGAGAACCTTGAGTCCCTTCTCCTGGGCCTCCTGTGTGAGAATCCAGTGCCTTCTGAGGTGACCCATACCAGGAGATGCCTCCCCCTCCAGGGAGCACCCTTTGGAGGATTGTGACTCACTGCACCATGCTGTGAGCTTGTGGGGTTCCGGCCGTGGTCCCTGCAGAACCAGTCTTGAGATGGGCTTAGCAACGGACATGACAAGACAGGTTCCAGAGCAGGGCTAGGGGGAGGGAACAGGGGAAATTTAATGTGACCTCAAATACCTAGGTGGGTGCTGGAGCTGTTACTAAAATGAGGAGCCTGGGAGGTACCTGCCAGAAATCGAATTCCATAGTAAATGGTGGACATGAGGGATTTTTAAAATGCCATTTGTCATCCAAGTTAGGACTTCAAAGAGGCACTCGGGTCTATGAACCTGGGGCTCAGGTGAAGGAGCCGGACTAGAGATAGACATTGGGAGTCGTCATTCTTAGCTGGTGTTCACAGCCGTATAGGTGGATGAGCTCATCTCGAGATGTGCAGACTAAGGCTGAGGGGGGACAAGGCTGTGCCTCGGTTGGAGGAAAGCCCAGACCATTTAGCTTTGGTGTGTCAGTCAGCGGCGTTTGGGATTTTCAGAGCAATGCCATTTATCCTTAAGGGGCTAGGGGGTGGGGAGGGCCACCCAGGAAGAAATCTGAAGGGAAGGTTGTGGCCACGTGTGCGCGTCTTGGGACGATGCAGA